ATTTAATCGTTAGAGAAGACAATATTTATGAATATACATATATGTGTGTGTGTGTGTGTGTGTGTGTGTGTGTGTGTGTGTGTGACACCATTTAGGACTGCAAGGAAAAGGAAGAAAAGAAGGGAAAGTAAAAGAGAGGCGAGAGTTGAAAAAAAACAAAGAAAATAGGTTAAGTCTTTGTCGATGGAAAGATATCGTTAGACAAGGTGTCTGTTTTGTGTTGAAATTTGACTATGAGAGAAACAATATTATCAGAAAAATGGTGAAGTCGTCCATCGTATAAGTGGTTGGCGCCGAGAAGTGAATGCGTCTGTTTGGCCAGCAAATTTGGTTCTAGCAAAAAGCTAATTGTCCGAATTCCAGATCGACTAGCTAACCTCCGGGACAGAATAGATAAACATTTAACTGTGTCACGGGAATGCCATTTGGGGCTTCCACAGAGTTCTAAAGAGATAAAAATTTAATAAGAATGTCCTGACCACACACAGAGAACCCAACCCTAGGTTAAGTCTTTGTCGATGAAAGGGTGTCATTGAGAGAAAAGACATCTGGGTTGTGTTGGAATCTAACGGTGACAGCGAAACTATTTTATCCGAAATCGGCACCAAGAATGCAAATACGGCTAGGATAGCGAAACTACCTTATCGGGACGAAAAGTTGGCTGTGTTTTGCTAGATGACCACCAACTTGATAATTGGCGAAAATCTGATTGACGAAGTCCATATGAAAGTGACTTTGGGATAGGAATGGAGATTATCACAATACGGGTCGTACTGTTCTGTTGGCGGCCAGAGAAGAAGAGAGAAAAGAAAAGAAAGAAAGGAAATAGAAAAAAGAAAAAGAGGAGATATTTTTTTTTTCTTTGAGCAAGATATTTTTTTTTAAAAACAAGGCTAGTCTGGTCCCACCCACACTGTCGAACGCCAATTGGATGAAGGTTAACGAGAACCAGGCGGAGGTGATCTAGTGACGCAGAGGGAGAGGCCTGCTACGTTTCATTAAGAGGATAGGTATGAGATGTTACTGCGAAGGAGTAGGAAAACGTTGACGCCCTCTGGGGGTATGGTAAGAGACTCATATGAGAACGAAAGAAGGTGGGGGTAAGAGAAGACTTCCAAAAATGGAAATAATAAATTTTTCCTGACCGAAAACAAAAGAAGGGGATTGTGGATTTGGAATTATCAAGGGACCTCAAACCCCGACAAAGCCCACCCCGGTTTTGGTCGGCGTCCATATAAGCAAAGTCGCAGCGAGCGAAAATCAGTTCGAGTTCAGTTTCCAGTTTTCGAGTTTTGAGTTTAAGTTGAGAGCTCTGAAGACCCACCACGCATTAGCTGACTAAGATTCACGCAATTCCGCACTCATCTTCAATCCAAGAACAATTTATTTTTGAAGAGCGACTTAGACTCATACCACCAAAAAGCCTCCCCTAACAAAAACAACGTGTCACGAATCCATATAGCTTGTCGGGAGTAGACGCAGTCCTATGTATCCAGCAACCAGATATAAAGTACTGTTATCCTTTTTTTTGATACCTTTGAACTTTTCGAGTTATTATTTTATTTTCTTTTACACGTACTTGTGCCATATCACCCTTATTCGAACTCAGCTTGCAGTACGGCCCAGCGACTGATTGATTTCGTCTGTCTAGATCAATTCACAACGTGGTTAGGTTAGACTAGAAATCAAAGCAGTTACTTCGGTAACCAGATGTTGGAAGCGAGTTGGGAACGTCGAAGCTGATACCGAATCTAACCAGATTCCCATCCGAATCACCAAAAGATTAGAACGTCACATTTGGGTGCCGCCACCCATACCAAGCCAGCTGGTCGTCACAGGACGGGACAGCACGACTGACGCAGACAGGCGGACGTCACGTTTGGAGCGGCGACACCCGAACGAGCGAGGAACAAGCAGCGGGGACGTCACATATATATATATATATATATATATATATATATATATATATATATATATATATATATATATATGTGGTCTCAAAATAATGTATACACTCTTTGAATTGTTATAACTTATTCAATTTATGTATTTTGACTTGTAAATAAGATTAATACAAGAGAAAGAATACACATTTAAAGAATTTGAGAGTAAGATATACAAAAACATAGAAAATTAACTTTAATAAGATAAAAGGTACTTGGGGCAATAGAAGAGTTTTCATATAATGATGAGTTCGCATCAAGTGCTGAAATTGGTCGCCATTCTGTTCAATACACTTTTCATATCTTGAAGAAATAGACCTACAAACGTCCAGTATCATTTCCTCTGGTATTTGAGCACATTCTTCTTCAATTGCTACTCTCATTTCAGTAATTGTTTCAGGTTTCCTGCTGTAAACTTTGTCTTTTAGAAACCCCCCATAAAAAGAAATCCAAGGGTGTCAAATCTGGTGATCTAGGTGGGTATTCAACTGACCCTCTTCTTCCAATCCATTTCTTTTGCATATTTCCATCCATCTAAGTTCTCAAATCACGCTAATGTATTATTAACTATTAATATTTAAAGAGTGTATACATTATTTTGACGCACCCTATATATATATATATATATATATATATATATATATATATATATATATATATATAATCGACTCTCCCGTCGAGATTCGACGTATGAGGGTCAAGCAGATCAGTTTCCAGGAAACCGACAGCCCGACACCGGCACATGAGATTTGATTATAGAGGTGAAAGCTTCGTGCAGGACCATTCACATTTTTTGAAGGGACGAATACAGAGACCTGGTGCACCGAATGCCATAAGGTTCCCAAACGACCCTCCGCAGTTTTTGAATTCAGAGTTGTCCTTCTCCTAGACCAGTTGCCATCCAAGGCTATAGAACCCAGTCTGTCCTGCTATTTTACCCATAGCTGGAGGGAGAGGAAGAGGATTCATACCTTTCCCAAGGGTATTAGCACGTAAGTTAATGTAATGGATTCGACTGGAATTCGAACTCGGCTCTGCGATTCCTCAATCAAGCCGCTATATATATATATATATATATATATATATATATATATATATATATATATATAATGTATTAAGCATAGCAACATCGTCAGCATCATTTAACCTATAACGGTACGGACATATAAAGATATAGAATGAATTTCACTTACACAGGCAGACACATATACAGAAAGAATTTCTCAATCATTTCTAAAACAGCAGACAGAAAAACAGAAACCAAAGTTATTTATTTTATTTTTAATTTCTTAAGCAAATTTATTATTATTATTATTATTTTCCAAATAAGCGATGTTGGGAAAGAGAAAACGAAATCTTTTGCGGCTGATTTTTCATTTTAATTTTTTAAAGGACACTCAAGAACAATATTTGGTTTTCAGCAAAGATATCACCAAGTGGACGCAAGAAAAATATGAAGTGAAATAACCTTGCCATTATTAACTGGAGACAATTCACTTTGCGTCACGATTTCTGCTTGGGCAGCATTTCATTGACGTGTTTTCGCCACTTCATTCTGGATATATCTAATGTAAGGAAATTTAAATGGTTTCCAGCCGTTTAAATCGTCGATAATCTTTACTAATATAAATGCAAATCCTTTGTTAAAAATTGTTAAGAGAGATATTTCATCATTTTGATAAAATTCAGATGCAATCGTTTTCAATCCTAAAATAAGGACTTGAGTTTGTACTTCGAATTTTATAAACTTTTGAAAAAAAAAAAAAAAAAAAACGAAAGGTAAATACAAAATCTGGGTTCAAATATAAAGAATTAAAATATAATAGAATAATTAAAAATCAACGATATGAGTGCCAAAGCTCTTAAAAGTACTAGGAAAAAACTAATTCTCTCCTGGAACAATATTTTTACGTGATATCTTTTAGAGATAAACGGAGGTGTTGAAACGCTTATCGGTTCGGGACTAATACAAATGGCCAATACTAGACCCTTACATTCATTGTTCAATTGCCTTATCTTCTGTATAATAAATGCGAATTTCAGTTTGTCACTGTATAACACTTATTCATTAAAGGGACATAACTCTAAATAGATCATCTTCTTCCTTATAATAAATGCTAATGTTAATATGTCATTGTGTCACACTATTTCAATTAAAGGGACACAACTCTCAATGGGTAATTTTCTTCTTACAAAGGAGTAGTGGATAGCGGTTCGGATTGATCAATCGGAGAGCCGAGTTCGAATTCCAGTCGAATCCATTACTTTCACTTACGCGCTAATACCTTTTGGGAAAGATATAAATCCTCTTCTTCCCCACCCCAGCTATGGGTAAATAGCAAGACAGACGGGGTTCTATAGCCTTGGATGTCAATTTGTGTACTGCAGAAAGAAATGGCATTCTACTGCAGAAGAAACTCTGCCTCTTCAGTCATGTATCGAAAGATACATGATCGCACGGGACATAACTGATATAATAAATGCTGATGTTAATGTGTCACTGTGTCACACATTTTCAATTAAAGGGACACAACTCTCAATAGCTAATCTCCTATCTCATAAATGCTAATGCTAATGTGTCACTCTTTTTTTAATTAAAGGGACATAACTCTCAATAGGTAATTTTCTTACGATGGATTAATGGATAGCGGTTGGGATGGATGAATCGGAGAGCCGAGTTCGAATTACAGTCGAATCCATTACTTTCACTTACGTGCCTTTTGGGACAGGTATAAATTCTCTTCTTCTTCCACCCCACCCCAGATATGGTTAAATGGCACGACAGAAAAAGCAACTTGTCTACCGCAGAAAGAAATGGCAACCTACTGCAGGAAAAAAAAAATCTGTCTCGTCAAGTGAATATCAGGATTCCATGCTGGAACTGGAACGTGGCTCTCCGATTAACTATTCCGAGCCATTATTCATTACATCACCGGTATATACAAGCGGTTACCCATCTAGGTACTGGCATAGCTCGACGTTGCTTAACTTCGGTGATCCTACAGTAACCAGGAGTTTCAACGTGATTTGGCCGTATACTTATCCATTACACTACCCACAGCACTTGGTATTCCCAAGCGATTACCCATCTCGGTACTTACAAGGGTCGCCGTTGCTTAACTTCGGAGATCATACGGGGACCGGTGCTTCAAAGTCTTTCAAAGCAGTAGCTGACCAGAGATATCTATGGTCGTGAGTAAAGGCTTGGTTTCGGATTGGTACATATTGGTACTGTATATTTGAGCTTGATTGCATTTGCTTTGTTCGGGAATAGTCAATTATTATTGAGTCTATAAGCATTTGGTTCGGGAAAAAAAAGTCAATATAGTTATTTTATATTGGCGTCTCTAAGCATTTACTTGATTTGTGAGTAGCGAAATATTCCTTGTTTATAATTCCGAATAATGTAAATAATGTAAATAGTTACAATACCTCATCTCGGAAATATAGACAGATCCTGAACAAGACCGGAGCGTACAACGGCCGAAACATCGTCAATATGACAATAAAGATGAGGACGACTCTCCGAATAATGTAAATAGTGTAAATAGTTACAATACCTCACTCGGAAATATAGACAGATCCTGAAGAAGACCGGAGCGTACAACGTCCGAAACATCGTTAATATGACAATAAAGATGAGGACGACACTCCGAATAATGTAAATAGTGTAGTTACAATACCTCATCTCGGAAATATAGACATATCCTGAATAAGACCAGAGCGTACAACGACCGAAACATCGTCAATATGACAATAAAGATGAGGACGACTCCCCGAATAATGTAAATAGTGTAAATAATTACAATACATCACTCGGAAATATAGACAGATCCTGAATAAGTCAGGAGCCTACAACGGCCGAAACATCGTCAATATGACAATAAAGATGAGGACGACTCTCCGAATAATGTAAATAGTTACAATAGCTCATCTCAAAAATATAGAAAGTTGTTAGAAATGCCTTGTTTATCATTTACCATAAAAATGTATTGTTTATCATCTTAATATGAAAATATATAATTGGTAATATTTTTTTTAAAGATATATTCCTGGAAATTTCTCTATCAAAATGTAATATTAATAATTTGTTTTTTTATAAAAATGTATTGTTGGTATTTTTACTATGAATAATAGACATTTCGATTATTGTTTCTGGTACACTATTCGAACATTGATGAATTCCAACAAGTGCTAATACCCAGTGTCTGGGAACAACATCAAGTTAGAGGTGGCTGCACACTCCTGAAAATTTCCAATCTAGCAGTCAGAGGCCTTGCTACTGGGTGTAGTAGTTTATGTAATGGAATGGTGGTAACGTGCCGCTGGCGTAATGCTAGAAACATTTGCAAGCGCTTCTAGATTTCTGGCATTGAAACGAAAATTCCATAACACTGAAATATTTCAATTTCTGATTCTTTCATTTCGTTGCTCATCAATATTTTTCTTCTATAATATAAATCACCAATATATATATATATATATATATATATATATATATATATATATATATATATATGTGTGTGTGTCAGGTCATCCCATACGTTCTGTCCGAATTTTGAATAATGAAAACAAGTGACCAAATGTTACATTTAATTATAGATTCAATCAACAATGTATTTTCCCTGATTATCTATGACTTCCTTCCATCTACTAACAAACTTACTAATTCCATTACTGTAAAATTATTTTCCCTTTGATTCGAAGAACTCACAAATGTCTGTTTTAAACTGTTCCTGTGTTACAAAAGCTGTTTCTTCCAAATGATTCTGTAAGCTACGAAACAAATGTCAGACTGAAGGAGCAAGATCGGGAGAATAATGTGGATGAGGAATTTTCTCCCAACCAAGTTCTTCGATCTTTTGTGTCGTGATTCTTGCTGGGTGGGGTCGCGCATTGTCCTGATGAAACATCAACTCTTTTCGATTCCCTGATGACAATATATTTGAGCATTAATTGTTGCATTAGGTGGTAAGAATTCAAAGTGAATTATTCCTTGGCGATCCTACCAGATTGAAAGAAGAACCTTTTGCCCATGAAGTTCCCTTCTCGGTTGTGGTTGGGGTCCTTTCCCTTTACCAAGCCACTGTCTACGACGCTTAACATTTCGATAAAAGATCCATTTTTCGTCGCCAGTCATAAGTCTATTAAAAAAAAGATGAAACAAGTTGGCGAGAATGGAGAGAAGAGCAGATGTCAACTCGGGATTTGTGATTGTTTTCCGACAATTCATGAGGCACCCATTTTCCAAGTTTAGGAACTTTTCCAAGTTGTTGAAGATAACGATGAACAGTTGTATGGTTTGAACTGCGAACCACTGCCAATTCCTCAACTGATAAAGCAAGATTTTCTTCAAGGGCTGCTTCAAGAAGCTTTTCATCAAACTCAACTGGACGTCCGGTTCAATCTTCATCTTCAAGGGTGAAATCTTCTGCAAGTTCTTTCATTCACATATTTCTCTCCATAAACTGAGTAAATGTTTCTAGCCGCTTCTGCTGCTGACTTTCCTTTCTGGAACTCATAAAGCATTATGTGCCTCAAATGATTCTTGGGTACTTCCATGTTAGCATGGTTTTAATGAAACAAAATTTAATTTTATTGTTCTCCAAAATAAAATTTGATCAGTTTAAATGCATCTAAACATAAAAATAATGTTAAGCCCCATTAGACATAATAAAATTGTAAATTTCGTTCATTTTAACAAAAAGTTAAAATTCAGATAGAACTTATGGGATGACCTGATATATATATATATATATATATATATATATATATATATATATATATATATACGCATACGCATACATATATATATATATATATATATATGTAGTAAATAAAAATATTCGCATTTTGTGGAATCAAATGGCACAAGCAATCAAATAAAATATAATTTGGAATTGCTGAGAATGGATATCATATTCAGGCTGGAAATTCTTGGAACACGCCTCGTAAATCAAACCAATTTCTTGCTTCGTCGCGTAAAACATGACATCAAAATAGCGAACATATTTTTGCCGAGTGAATCACTTAACGTATGAAGAGAAGGGCGAAGCTCATGCCATTACCCCCCAGATGAATTCCGAGAAGCAAAACAACGTTTATCACACGTTACGTTTCTACAGTCGATCCTCATTGGGGGTTATTTGGAATAGCGGACGTGGAGTAAATATCTTAAGTATCTTAATATGATAGTTATACGATTATTTATTACGAATCTTTTCTCCTCTATGTCAGTGAATGCTGAACAAAGCTCCCCACCCCACGGATGAGGAGACAATGAGGAAGACACGAAATGTTGTTCTGCATAAGGATGCTGAAAATGATACGGCAAGGAAGCAACCAAAATATCTTAAAGAATATCGTCAGAGAAAGAAGACTTCTACAGAGAATCATGAAAGAAACGACTGGAATTCTTGAGGCGCATAATGAGTTAGGACGTAGGGGAAAATATAACCCTCCCGGGGTACATTGACGGTAAGAGAGAAAGAGAAAGGTAACTTTTGTCAAAGGATGACAGAGAAGGAGAAAATTGTCTACAGCGTCACCGGATAGAAGGTTGTGGAGAGATATAACCGCCTCTGTCCTGAAGGGACGCGCCACAGAAGATAAAAAAAGAAGAATGAAAATAAAAAAAAGAAACAATTTAATTTATTGCCACACGTAACCTAAAAAAATCCCGCTGTTTCGCCATTCATTCTGGCATGAAGACGCCAGACCTAGCAAAATTAATGTTGTCATTAAAATGCTTCCACGCACGCACACACATACCCACACAAACACACGCACATTCAGATATATACGCATATAGCCACGCACATCGGCTCACACGCATGCATGCACAGAAACAGAGTACGTGATATTAAGTGGAGGAGGTAACAAGTGATAATTATGAGGATATGGAAAACAGATAAGGATTTGCACTTGATCTGAAGAAATTAAGGTACCTTTCGAGAGAGTACCCAGTTGAAGACTTTTTCATAATAATGGCGCCTCGACTCTTTGACGTATTATTGTGGGTCTTAGCTGAACTGGTTGGGACTATAGAATACATATCGTTTGATATAGATTAAACATTTGCCCTGGAAATAACGATAAAGTAGTCATAGGCCTAGTTTATAATAATCCTTAGTTTATGAAATGGAATAATAACACTGAATCGATCATGCTGTTAGTCAAGTCGAATTGTTTTCTCTACATTTATTAGTTACATCCTGTTATACTCTTTACATTCTGAGTGACTTTTATATTATCTTCCACTTAAACTCCTTGTAGCTTATTTGCCAAGTACGGTCCACTTGTATATATTTCGTTCCATCTCTTACATTAACGGCATCAGATTTTCATGGAATATACGAAATGCCAGCAGAGCTTGATTTACAGCGGAAAGATGTTCGTACATATCCTATTCCTTCTATCGGCATCACTCTTTCATGCAATATAAAAGATCTACTGGAAATGCGAGCAGAGCTTGATTATATCGGAAGGCATTCTGTTCCATCATTTACCCTATCGGCATAAGTTTTTCATGGAATACACAAGAGCTGCTCGAAATGCTAACAGAGCTTGATTTATATCGGAAAGTATTCGTACATGTTTTGTTCTAGCATTAAGAACTACAATGGACAGTGAAATTGTGGAGAGCCATGATCACCTACGTCCTGAAGGCACATCGCACATAGAAGAAGAAGAAGAAGAAGAAGAAGAAGAAGAAGAAGAAGAATGAACTCGTGCAAATGTTTGACAGAACGGGGTTAGGTGAGATAACAAAAAGAAAAAAATATTGAGATCTACAAAGGAGAGAAAATTGTGGAGAGCCATGATCGTCTACGTCCTGAAGAAACATGGCGTATAGAAGAAGAAGAAGAAGAAGAAGAAGAAGAAGAAGAATGAACTGCAAATGTTTGACAGAACGGGGTTAGGTGAGATAACAAAAGAAAAAAAAAAAATTGAGACCCACAAAGGAGAGAAAATTGTGGAGAGCCATGATCGTCTACGTCCTGAAGAAACATGGCTTATAGAAGAAGAAGAAGAAGAAGAAGAAGAAGAATGAACTCGTGCAAATGTTTGACAGAACGGGGTTAGGTGAGATAACAAAAAAAAAAAATATTGAGACCCAACAAGGAGAAAATTGTAGAGAGCCAATCGTCTAC